TGGAAAGAAGAGGCCTGCCGGAGATGCACCGAGGGAGGAGCCCCCGCAGAAGTTTGCCAACACAGATAGGCAGGACGAGGAGGTGGTGCAGAGGTCTACGCTAGGGGATCACCCGTTTGGGCTTTCGTCAGCCCTCCCATCAGTACAGGGCGCCTCCAAGAGGGGGACTCCATCCACGACAAGGGGGTCAGCCAAGAGCTGGTCAGCGGGTCCATTCTGTCGAGGGATCGCTACCGCCTTCTGCAAAGCAACCCCAAGGCTATCTACGACGAGGGCCTGTACCACTTGGCTGAGGTAAGACATTCTTCAATGCTTCACCATGTGTATGGTCATTTTATTTGTTTTTTGTTTTCGCTGATCGATTTTGTGGCAAGCCTGTCTACACTTCGCCGGCTTGGGGGACCGAACAAGGCTGGCCATGGGCCGTGTCGACAAGGCCGAGAAGGAGAAGAAGGACACGGAGGAGAAGCTCCAGAAGGTAACCACCGCCGCTGAGGAGAAGCACCAGAAGTTTCACAAGGCGCTTCTGGATGAACAATCGCTTCAAAGTCCAGTTGCAGGAGGCACGGAAAGGGCTCTCCAAAGAGCAAGTGGAGCGGGTAAGGCTGGAGAGCATTGTCACGGAGGCGGAGAGACGAGCTGCTGAGGCCGAGAAGAGGGTTGCCGAAGCCCTAGCTTCGGCGGAGAACTCAAAGAAGGCAGTGGCTGAGGCAGTGGAGACATACAAGAAGTCTTCTGACTACCTGGACGCGTTGGCGGAGTACGCTTCATCATCTTACCTCGACGGCATAGAGTACACTAAGAAGGCACTCCTACTAGTACTGCCAGATTTTGATGTCGAGGGATTGCAAGTGATCCCCGACACTCATGCTGAAGATGTCGTTCTCCCTCCGGCCCATGACGAGACGCAGGCATAAACTTCCCCCCTTGTCACCGAACTCACTGGGAGGTTCTCATGGACCAGGCCTTGCACCAGGACCCCTAAACGATGATTGGTACTCAGGCGGGGCTCCTCCTTTCTTATTTTGTTCTGTTGATGTAATAGTTCTGTTGTCTTTTTGTTTTTGTTTTCTGTTTTTTTGGAGTGCAATACAAAATTTTGTAAAGGCTGTACAAGATCAAAATTGAATAGTGAATGAAGCCATTTTTTGTGTACACTTTGTTTTGTGTATGTTGTTTGCACGCTCATCTTGGCTTGTCTGGATATTGGAAGTCGAGGCGGAGTCATACACTCGAGGTGGAGCTCGCTTGGCCTCCAAATCCTGTGCTATCTTAGGTGAGGCCGAAGAGACCTGACACTTTGGCCGAGGTCCGGGGCCGAAGTATGTCGCCGAGGTACTTGGGTGGATGAAGAGCTACGACAGAACACTGTCGGGGTGCAGCTCCCCTAACTCGTTCTTACCAAGTGATCTCTCGAGGGAGGCCAAGGCGTCCCACCAGCGAAGCTGAGGGCTCTGCCTCGTTGTTTTCTTTGCGCTAAATGTAGATAGCCGAGGGAGTCACCAGACTCCGGGGTGATAAGGTGACGAGGTGAAGTGAAGAGGAACTTTGCTTCATTCATTCATTACTTTTATCAAAAGGTTACATTCATCTGTAGTACATTCGGAGGTTCTTCGAGTTCCACGTCCGAGGGATGGGTCTTCCATCTAAGTTTTCCAGTCGAAATGTCCAGTAGGGTCCTTCCCAGTTGGGGCCCAACTTCCCTACTCCAGCTTCAGGAACCATGACCTTCTTGAGGACAAGGTCTCCCTCTCTGTAGTGTCTTTCTTTCACTATAGAGTTGTAGTAGCGGGCCACTCGCTACTGATAGGCACTCATCCTTATCTATGCTTGCTCTCGGGCTTCTACCAACAGATCTAAGTTTGCTCTGAGTGCCTCTTCATTCCCGTCCTCAGTATAAACTTGGACCCAAAGTGTTGGTTGGCCAATCTCTGCTGGGATTACTGCTTTCGTGCGGTAGGTCAAGCCGAAGGGAGTTTCTCCCGTCGTTGTCCGAGGTGTGGTTCGGTACGCATAGAGGACGCTGGGTAGTTCGTCGGCCCATAGGCTTTTAGCTCTATCCAACCTCGTCTTTAGCTCGTCTAGGATGGTCTTGTTTGTGACCTCGGCCAAGTCGTTAGTTTGGGGGTACCCCATCGAGGTGTACTGTTGCCTAATGCCGATGGAGGTGCACCATTCTCGGAATTTAACATCATTGAACTGCTTTCCATTGTTCATGACCAGCATGTGGGGGAGGCCGAAGTGGCAAACGATGTTCTTCCTAAAGAAGCTCTGAATTGCCCGCGCAGTGATAGTGGCTAGGGGTTCAGCTTTTACCCATTTAATGAAGTAATCCACAACAACAACGAGGTACTTTCTGCCTCTCGTAGCCTAAGGGAAGGGGTCGAGGAGATCCATCCCCCACTTGGCAAAGGGCTAGGGGCTGCTGAGGGCCGAGAGAGTAGTCGCTGGTTGATGGCAGAGGTTGGCATGTCTCTAACATTGCTCACATTTCCGCACCAGCTCAGCCGCATCCTTGTGAAGCGTTGGCCAAAAGTACCCTTGCCTTAGAGTTTTCTAGGCTAGGGTTCGGCCGTCGAGATGATTGTCGTAGATGCCTTCGTGAATTTCATAGAGTACATTCTTGCCCTCCTCCCTACGGAGGCATCAGAGGTAAGGCATGGTGAAGGACCTCCTATACAACTTTCCTTCTAGCAAAGACGGGTCGGCTTTCTATTGGGTAGCCTTTCTGTTAGTAGGAAGTCGATAATGGGGTCCATCCAAGACGGCTCGGCTTCCATGGGTAGGATTTGGATCTCCTCTATAGAGGGCCGCATCCGAGGTGCTCGCCAATTTGGAGAGGGCATTGTTTCTAGAGTTCTCGGTTCGCGGGACTTGCTGTAGAGAGAAGCATTCGAAGTAGCGGGCTAACTCTTGAACTTTGGCGAGGTACTTAGCCATGCTTTGTTCCCTAGCCTCATACTCATCGTTGACTTGGTTCACCACCAGTTGTGAGTCACTGAGGACTTCAACGTGCTTGGAGCCGAGGTCTCGGGCAAGCTGCAACCCTGCCAAGAGGGCTTCGTACTCGACTTCGTTGTTGAAAGTGGGGAACTCGAATCTCAGCGCATACTCTATGACGTTGTTGTCGGGAGTGAGGAGAGTGAGGCCCGCTCCACTTCCTTTGGCGTTGAATGAACCACCAACAAAATGTCTCCACACGGGGGAACCTCCTCGGCCGGTTATGCTTCCTCTGGCTCTTCTTCGCGAGGCCTGCCGAGGGGCCTGCTAAAAGTGCTTTCTGCTACGAAGTTAGCTAGGGCTTGTGCTTTGATCGCGGGCCTCGACTGGTACTATATGTTAAACTCTGACAATTCTATTGCCCACTTAATTAGGCATCCCAAAGTCCCTGCCTTGGCGAGGACGGTCCTAAGGGGCTGATTTGTCAAGACTACTATGGAGTGGGCTTGGAAATACGACCTGAGCTTTCTGGCTGAGGTGACGAGGGCGTAAGCTAGCTTTTCCATTTCGGGGTACTGGGTCTTAGCGCCGCTGAGGACCTTGCTGACATAGTATACCGGCCTCTGAACTTCGTCATCTTTCACCAGGATCGAGTTGACGGCCTCGTCCCCGGTTGACAGGTACAAATATAGGGTTTCTCCTAACATAGGTCGTGCGAAGAGCGGGAGTGAGGTGAGGTACAGTTTGAGCTCGTCAAAGGCACGCTGACATTCCTCTGTCCAATGGAAATCTTTCAGCTTCTTGATGGTGCGAAAGAAGGGAAGGCAGCGGTCTACCAATTTCGACATGAAGTGGGTGAGGGCGGCTATTCTGCCGGTGAGCATCTAAGTCTCCTTCACTGACCTAGGGAGTGTCATGTCTAGTATGGCCTGTACCTTGCTTGTGCTGGCCACGATGCTCCTTTGAGTGACGACAAAGCCTAAGAATTTCCCCAAGGTAACCCCGAAGGCACACTTGCTCGAATTGAGCTTCATGTTGAACTTACGCAGAGTATCAAAGGTCTCGGCCAAGTCTAAGGTGTGCGCTTTGGCCTTCAGGCTCTTCACCACCATGTCGTCTATGTAGGCTTCGGCATTACTCCCCATCTGATTCTTGAAAATCTTGTTAACAAGGCACTGGTAAGTGGCCCCTGCATTCTCGAGGCCGAATGGCATCAGTTTATAGAAATACGTTCCATGCTCGGTGATGAAAGATGTCTTCTCCTCGTCTTTGGGGTGCATCTGGTTCTGGTTATACCCAAAGAAGGCATCCATGAAGCTGAGTAGTTCATACCCTACAGTGGCGTCAACGAGGTGGTCTATCCTCGGCAAAGGAAAATTGCCTTTCGGGCAGGCTCGGTTAAGGTCTGTGAAGTCGATACAGATCCGTCATTTCCCATTAGCTTTCCTTACCAAAACCACATTAGATAGCCAGTTAGGGTAATGTACCTCACGGATGAAGCCGGCGTCGAGTAGTTTGTCAATTTCCTCTCCTATAGCTTTCCATCGCTCCGGTGCAAAGTTCCTCTTCTTTTGCCGAACTGGCTCAGAGCTCGGGTCCACGCTCAGCTTGTGAGTAATGACCGAAGGGTCAATTCCGGGCATGTTAGCAGCGGACCAAGCAAAGACGTCGGCGTTAGTTCTGAGGAAACTTACCAGTTTAGATAGGCGTTCAGGGGGGAGGTTGGACCCGATGCGGACTGTCCTCTCTGGGGCTGACTCATCTAGGGGAACCGAGACAAGGCCCTCGGCTGGTTAGCCTCGGCTCGCTAGTTCTTCCCAGGGGTCAAGGCCCTCCAATGATAAGGCCTTCTTATTTTTTCCTTTTAGCGCCGCCACGTAGCATTGGCGGGCGATCTTTTGGTTCCCACGGACGACTACAACGTCGTGCTCGATGGGAAACTTAAGGGCCAGGTGATAAGAAGGCATGGCTGCCCCTAGTGCATGAAGGGTTGGTCTTCCCATTATTGCATTGTAGGAAGAGGCAACCCTCACCACTAGGAACTCATGCATCCAAGTCACCTAGTGTGGCATTGTCCCCACCGTGATGGGCAGGGTAATCTTTCCTTCCGGCCTGGTGACGGTGTCAGAGAAGCCAACGAGAGAAGCGTCAACTGGCTGGAGCCTCCTTGGCGTGAGCTTCATTCTCTCGTAGGTGTCATAGAAAATGATGCCGGCTGACGAGCCGCTATTCACTAAAATCTTCTTCACCATGAAATTGGAAATGATGGTTGTGACCACGAGGGCATCATCGTGGGGGACAATAACCCCCTTTAGGTCCTCGTCAATGAAGACGAGGGCATGTGAACATCTCGGCCTCTGTGGAGTGTCCAGGTATTTCTGCTTCTTCGGGGTAGGCTCCTGGATGTTGAGATGCCTGGCATAGGCTTTTTGAGCCAAAGCCGAGGCTCCACCCGAGGCCATGCCCCCGGCAATGACGTCGATGACGCCTGCCCCTTGCTGGTGCTGCAACTGTTGGGATGACAAGGCACCAGCCTCTCCTCCGACGAACTGCTTGAGGTGTCCTCGGTGAATGAGGGACTCTATTTCATTCTTCAAATCGTGGCAGTCCTCGGTGTCGTGTCCGGTGCCACGGTGGTACTTGCAGTACTTTGTAGGGTTCCCCCTCTTGGGGTTCCGCTTCAACTTCGTTGGCCACTTCACGAACTTCTCTTTTCCTATCTGCATCAGAATCTGGGTGATGGTGGAGTTGAGTGGCGTGTAGTCCTTGTAGGCCAGGGTGGCGGGTTTCTAGGCCTTCTTGAGGAATTCGAGTTTGGTCTTTGACGGGGTCTTGGCAACTGAGCACTTGAGAGCTGAGCCAGGGCGGAGTCTGTTGATGGCCACATGCATGGAGACCATAGGGTCGAGGTCTCGAACTTCGAGCTCTTCTTTCTTGAAGCGATTGATGTAAGACCGCAAGATTTCACCTGGCTCCTGTTTGAGCGACATCAGAGAGACCACGCTGATTGCTAATGAAGCGGGCAAGGAACATGGTTGTAAATTGCTCCCACGAGTTGATTACTTGAGGAGGAAGACTAGAGAACCAACGACGAGCGGCTCCCCTGAAGGTAGCCTGGAAGGTCCGGCACGTCAAGGTGTCGGAATAGCCATATAGTATCATGAGCGCTCTGAAATCCTCCAAGTGGTCATCGGGATCAGTGCTTCCATCGTACGTCTCCAGTGTGGGAGCCTTGAAGTGTGGGGGGAGAGGCTTCGAGATGATTTCCTAGGTGAATGCATCCATGCGACCGACGGAACTGCCGTGACTGGTTGAGGCGTCGGCTCGACTCTCCTTAACCTGGCAGAGCTCGTCCTTGATGGCCCCAATCTCGGCTCACAACTTGGCGATCCCTAGGTCGGCATGGGCATGAGCCCTGCTCTTGTCTTCGCAGACCCGCAAATACTCCGAGGCAAGGTCGCGTGCTCCTCTGCGGGCGCAACGATCATTCAGCATGTCCCTGAGGTCTGAGACAGGAGGTGGAGTGGGATGGCGTCAGCTCTCGCCTCGGGAGCGAACTCCAGGGTGGCCGAACTGCTTGCCATCATTTTGGGGGACCTCCCTACGACGGCGGTGGTGCTGCTCTGAAGATTGATGACTGTCTTCAGGTTGAGCGGGCGCACTCTTTCTTTGGCTCGGAGGATAGACATTCCTTCGAGGTGAGTCCGGGAGGCGGTTATTGCCTGAATCTGATGGGTTGGCCAGCAAATTGCAGTGGCCGAGGGTCGGTATCTCGATGTTCTCATGTTGACCTTGATCCTCCGACACCCCAATGGGGCGGTCGCCTTGAGAGGGACCTCCTGCTCGGGGGCAGGCTTCTTCCATTTGTTGGGTGAGGCAGTCCAAACGATCAAGAACGGCCTAAAATTGTTCGTAGGTAATTAGGTTTGGGGTGTTCCTAGCTCTCCTCACCATGGCTTCCGAGTTTACAGGGATTTTGGATGATCTTAGAGTGTTATTATTGTTTATCCTCAAGTTGGGGTCGTCTTAGCAACGGATTCCCACAGACGGCGCCAATTGTTGCCGCATGGGTTGGCCGAGGGAAAAGAGGTAAATTTACTCTTCAAGTTTCGAAAGTTATCCGAGGAACCTGAGGCTTCGAAAGAGGTTGACCGAAGCCGAGGACATCAAACTGAGGCGAGGACTATGATAACCGAAGACTATGGTAGCCGAGGACTATGATAACCGAAGACTATGGTAGCCGAGGACTATTGGTCGAGGCGAGGTCCCTAGTGACCAGAGGCACTGCAAGACAGAGAGTGTCAGAGGCCTTAGGGTGGATACCTAAGGCGGAGGCTCCGACGCTCAAGTTAGTACGAGGTGTGAAGTTGGGGAGAATGTGAGAGTGCTCCTGGAGAAAGTCATCGGATGCACCAGATCTCCTAGAATTAATGCTTGGCAGGTAATGTGCGTGCAAAAAGTAAATGAGTGAGTAAATGTTGGAGTTACTCTGTTCTAGCCCCTTTTCAGGGGTAGTTACCTCTTATTTATACTCGGGCATGCTAGTGGTAGGTAGAGATGAGCACCTCGGATGAGAGCCGTACGAGGTCAGACTGCAAGCCCTGGCGGTGCGCCAGATAGTTAAGTGATTGGCTCCGTATGAAGGCAGCAGGGCTCTCACCTATTGTGGCTGACATTAGCAGGCGTTAGTGGGATGGGCCTTCTAGCCCTATGTGGGCTAGGCCAAGCTAACCCACATCTATATATATATATTATAATTTTTAATTTTAAATATTAAATAAAAAATATTTTTTATATATAATTTTTTATTTTTATAAAACATTTTTTCTCAAATCGAACTCGAGCCTTGTATTTCCTAGGCGAGCCGAGCTCGAGCCTCATACTATTTGGCACAACTTGGCTCAAATCCACCCATAGGCTGAACGTCCATGTAGTAGGTCTATAGCATTGAAGAGAATGTTTTGCAAGATGGTGCGCAGGACTATTTCCTTGACGATTGATATGGACAATTGAGACTAAATCCTGACGAGATAAATAGCTTCTACAATGTGTTAATGCACCATGGAGGAGAAGAATTCTCCAAAAGAAGCTTGACTATTGATTGAGTATTGTCTTCCAAGATGATCCGGTTGGGGACCAACTCAAATGCAAAATGGGCGCCATAGAAAGCAAGGGCTTCAACCAAGTGGACCTGGGTCCATTGGAATGGATCTAGCAACAATGAAGTGGCCATTGAGGTCACGAATGATAATCCCCACACCTACACATAATTCAGATGTAGCGCCATCAACATTGACTTTTACAAAATCTGGACTTGGAGGAAACCAACGGAGCCTTGAGACGATTGGAGGGCTATTGGGCTGGTTATTTAGGAGGCATTTGGCAAGTCTTTTTAGGAAGATCCTCCAAAAACTCAAGACCTCAAAAGACTGATAAACTTTCACAAGTAGATCTTCAAAGACCAAAGACTGTTTGGTAACAATTTTTTTAAAGATCTTTTCAAAAACTAGAAAGACTGTTTGGCAAGCATACATGTTGGTCCCTCTTATATACATGTTAAATGTTATGTATAGGACTAAGTAACACATTCAAACATGCAAATATTACTTGTGGGTCCCACTTAAACATTTACCTACACAATATTAAAATGGGCTCCACTCATGTATTTCCCTATATAAGATGATAATGTAATCCCTATTTATACATTGATCTTTGTCAATGCCATTTACGCAATAGGTTCTACAGTCTATTAAGATCGTTGCCAAGAAGAGCTTGTGCAAGTTCTGGATCAGTCTATAAGTTGCATAAACACCAGTTACAACAAAGACTAGTAAATCACAACAACAATAAGGTTCAAGAAAACCAATGACAACTATGATACCCCTGGTAGGACTAAAGGATTTTGGGCAGTATTAGCATTGGATATGAATATGATACCCCTTCCATTTCTGGTGTGACAAGAACCCAAGAGTTAAAATAGCCAAGAACCCAAACCATAAGAGTTTTGTATGATGTCTTTTTATTTTTGAAAATTTCTCTTGTTCCTCTCTTTGCAAATGTCTCATACAATTGTATGACCTATACAAGCCTACTGACCATAGAATACCTATTCAAGAACAAGTCTCTAGTTCCTTGTGACTTAGGAGTTAGAACTAATAGAGCTTCCATGAAATTCAACTTGACCTCTTGAACAAGTTTCAAAGGGAGATGACAGAAAGTTAAGGCAAAGTTCTTAAGGAACTTCACAAATTTTGTTAAGAACTTTCCCTCAACTTTACGTATCTTCCTTGTGAGTGTCACATATCTTAGACCAACTTTATTCCTGTGGTTGCAATTCATGTTAATTGAGATGGATCTATTTCTGATTTAGTTCATTAGGTTACAAATGGTCCTAATGCAAGATATTGAATGGCCATTAGAATCAACATTAATTAGAAAATGTTAAGGCAAAGGAAAATGGCTATATATACCACTGTTTTCAAAACTGGACTGGAAAAATCGGGAACCGGTCCATTTTCCTCCAAAATCGCTTTTTCCCTTGGTCAGCAAACCGTTGAACTAGCCGGTTAACCGTTCGAACGGTTTTGACCGTTTTCCAATTTTTTAAATTTTTTTTATTTTTTTTTGTCAGAACAGGCTAGCCGTTTGGGTCGAACGGTTGGACCGTTCAAACCAATAACCGGACCCCTGACCGGTTCGATCACCGATTCATTTTTAAAAACCATGATATATACTCTCCTAAGGCCATTATGAAATACAATTTTTACAGTTATCTTCTCATTCTTAAAAATGTAAGAGACTCTTACATTTACAAGTTAAGAATTTTATCTCTTGTTTAAAATGATACCATCTTTTTTTTTAATTCCAGAAACTAATCAACTGTTAATCGAATATCTGTTGCATCCAAATTCAGATTCATTTCTATGCAAATTGAACTTCACTGAAATTCAACTTATTATTATTTTAAAATTTAAATCCTATTAGAGCATTGAAGATCCCCTATTCTAGTCCAAACCCTACAGTCTAGCAAGATAGATGCTGCTATAGTTAGTGGATGATAATCATTTATGAGTGTAAATATTTAACTGGTAAATTTAATTCAAAACTGATGTATAACAGAAATCCCATGGCAACTTCTTTTTAATGCTAATAGGTAAGTTAATGCATACTATATGACAACAAAGGCTAACAGTTCAGATCTTTCAACAAGTTGATTAAAGCTTTTTTTTTTTTTTTTTGGTTTACTTTGTACCCGACCTCTCATTTGGTCAACCTAAGGGTTTTTTTCTATTCCAGGAAAGCTAATTAGAGTTTCTAAAATACAACACAAGGAAACAAATTCTCAATTAAGTTAAAACATCAGTCAGAATCCAATGAAACTTGATAAACATGGAGGTAGAATGTATCTAGCTGCCAATATTTGTGTCTTACACCCTCCTAGATTTCCTCTCCTAAGCAATCCTTGACAGGAAAGGGAATAAATTGTGTGGAGTAACCCAAATTACAAAGTTCTAGGGAAACCAACTTATAGTAAATAACATGAAAGAAAGCATTACCACCCCATAGGCCATTAAAGAATGAATAGATTCCTACAGTCGACCTAAGGGCTTTCAAAAAACAATTTATTATTTACAACCAAAAGTTACAACCCAACAACTCATCTAGGAAAAAATAATTTGTTGTGACTAAATTAGGATACATAAACTATTCATTATTTACATTAAGACCATTAGTTTTTCTCTGCACTAATTACACCCATATCCAATACCTATGTATTATCATTTGGATCCACCTAACATTCAATCCTAAAGTCAATTAAATAGTTCATAGTTGGCCTGTGATTGATTATTATGGGAGAATCCTATAGCTGTTGTAATGGGTGATTTTAACTCTTAATCATCTAATCAGTAATTTCATTCCTAGTCAATGTTAAGATTGATGCAGTTGATCACCTTCATATCCACCTTTAAAGGGTAAGCTGCTCAATTCAATCACCAAAGTATGTTGACTGCAAAAGAATGTTGTACCTTGTATTAATCCCTGCTTTCAGACTTTGAAAACTTTCTAAAATTCCTTAGGTTGATTTGTAACTTGATTTTACAATGCTAGCACAAATATATAGGAAATTGGAAGCTGGCTTGGTTTGAAGGCTAAAGGTTCTTGGGATTGAAGTCATTTAGATATTCAGGTGGTCAATTAGATAAGAGAAAATTTGCTACTTAGGAATCATTTTTTTGGTTATGCTATATATATTGGTACTATCACCAGTTAGATGAATCCATTCACTAATCATTGCATACGATGAATGGTTCCTGGAATGCAATACTTACCCTGTTCTACTGAAAGGTATCACTACATAATGGTTGATTATACATTTAAAATCCTAACATTAACAAATGTGAACCCTAACCATTAGGATCTATTTGAGCATGGAGAGATGTGCATTTAAATCCCTAATGCATCAATGGAATTTGAAAAAAAAAATGAGAAGTGGCGATTGATTATATCTGAACACGGTGAAGAATGGAGAGTATGGATGGAAAAGGAGAACAAGGTGAAGAATCTGAACGGTGAACAATGATGTGAAGAGAAGGAAGAAGTTAAGGAAGAAAAGGAGAACATACCTGCTATGCTTCTTAGTCAAGTCAGTGGGCAGAGTTTCTCTCAGTCAAATGAGGGGGGTTTCTATCGACCCCTTTCAAAAATTTTTCTAGATAGATATATCGGGAAGTTGAAAGCCCGAATAGACCATAAGCTTCAGTGCTTCACTCGTAGCTTTTTAGACATGGACCATTTTGAGCTTTTACGGTATTTTTTAGGTCCTGTCTTTTGGTCTATCGGGCTTTCATGAGCCAAACAAGAAAAGACCAATTTTGGTCTATTGATTTCTAAAAGCTCACTAGATCTTCCAAAAAGACTTGTCAAACAAGGCCTTAATTTGAGGTCATTGAGTGTGGATTCATTCAACAGATGGTTGATAAGAGCATGCGCCCGTGTGATCACTGCAGTGGGGTTAAAAGCTTGCCGGTCAAACACCAGTCGGTTATGGGAAATCCAAATTTTCCACATGATTACCACTCCTTGGAGGGCTGTAAGATTTGCAACTTCATCAGTAGCATCTAAATTGAGCTAGGATGCAAACCACTTTGCACAAGAGTGGTTAGGGAAAAAATCAGTTCTAATGTTGATGGAGAAACAAACCAAATTAGTCTTGTGTGGTGGCAATAGAAGAGAATATGTTCAATTGATTCCTCAAAATTATGGCAAAGTGGGCAAGCACGATCCACCTACACATGATGATTTGCAGGAATAGCTCTAGTAGGAAGAATGCTTTGGAAGAATTTCCAAAGAAAGAGGATAATGCTGGGTGGTAGAAGTTTGAATCTCCAAAGGCGTTTTCAATTAAAGTTTTCATCCCCAGTATTGGCATTTGATGGGCCCGGAGCATCTTGAAGGAGGAGCAGTAGACTTGAAGTTGTAGTGAAGTTTCCATGTGGAGTCTTTGTCCAAACAAGTTGATCAGAAATCAATGTACCAGGTTGGGGGAGTTTGATTTTAAGGGTGGAATTTGTTCTGTGTCAAAGAGATTCCTTACTGCATTCTCATTCTTTTGATATTTACTTCTAATGATATAGGATAGCATGTGTTGTTTGGAACCCATGCGTCAAAGAGAGCAGAAATATCCCAGCCAATTGCCCACTAACCACAGGCAGCCTCTACGAAGAAGGCCAGGTCCCGATATATAGCTTAACATGGCATCCCAAGTTCTTGAAGCATTAATTACCATTAGGCTTCCAATCCCAGAAGATTTCTGATGAAGATATTTACTTCTGAGAACAGAGGCCCAGAGAGAGCATGGGTTCTTACAAAAGTGCCAACAAAGCTTAGTAACCAAACCTTTATTTCTCATCTCTTCTGCATTTACAAGTCCGAGTAGTCCACCATGGTCTTTAGGAATAAGCATTGACTCCCACATTTTCAAGATTTTTTTTGTTTCCATTTTGCCTATGCCACCAAAAATCCCTACAGATGTTGTTGGTTTGAGTACAAATAGATTTTAGGAGAATAAATGATTGCATATGGTAGAGGGGAGTGGCTTCTAAGGTGGTCTTTATTAATAGTGTACGCCCACTTGGGATAACGAGTTGGCCTTCCAAGTCTAGAGTTTTGCTTTAATTTTTTCGATGATAAATTTCCAATCCTGTGAGGGGGCTCTCTCAAGGAAGATAGGACCACCAAGATATCTGTCTGAACTTCGAAGGAAGGAAACACCAAGAGAGGAAGCAATTTTCGCTCTAGTTCTTCGGTGATAGTGCTTGGGCTGAACCAAATTTGATAGTTGATTTCTTGCCCGGACCAGTGGCAGAATTGCTCTAATTGAGATTTGAGGCAATTAATTTCTGTGGAGGTGCATTTGCTAGACAAGAGGACATCATCTGCAAAAATGAAGATGGTTAATACGAATTCCAGAATTTCCAAGTTTAATACCCTTTAGCTCCCCATTATTCAAATTAGATGAGAGGATATGTGAGAGAACTTCAGTACAAAGGTTAAAAAGGTAAGGGGAGAGTGGACATCCCTCTCTAAGACCCCACATGGGTGAGAATGATTCCCCTACATGGCCATTCAGCATTATCGATATGATGGTATTGGTAACGCAGCCCATGATTAAGTTGCAAAAAATATCTGAGAAAAGATCACATCTCCACCCCACAACGCCCCACGGCACATTCCTTGCCATGTATTGGGAATATCTCCCAATGATGACATCATCGAGACTGATACTATCATCCGGAGATATTTATAATACACGGCAGGGATGTGCTGTAGGGCGGAGAAAGAACCCGAGAGAAGAAAGGTCACTCAATTTTGTCGTAAGCCTTGCTAAGGTCAAGTTTAACATAAAATAACCATCTCTGCCTTTCTTTCTTTTGATGGTGTGAAGGACTTCCCGACAAATAATCGTATTGTTAGAAATATGCCTGCCGGGAGTGAAAGCACTTCTGAAATGGTGAGATTAAATCAGGAGAAAAACATTTAAGTCCATTGGTTATAATTTTGGCAATGATTTTATAACTGACATTAATTAGATCAATTGGTCTAAAATCTTTTGCTTCCTCCACCTTGTCGTGTTTTGGAATTAAGCACAGAAAGGTTTGATTAATCTCACCAAATTTTTTTTTTTGGGTCAATAAAATAATTCTAGATAGAGGATACCACATTAAGTTGCATTGAAGCCAACATAAACTTAGGCATGAACACCATCAGGTCCGGGAGCTTTATGAGCACTGATATTAAAAACTGTATTACGAATTTCAGTTACATCTGGGATTCTACAAAGCAAGTCATTAGTTTGAGATGTGACGCATTGGGTGAGACCTACAAAATCATTGAGTTCTAGATTAGAAGAAGAAAATAGATTTTTAAAGTAAGTTGTGAGAGTATTGTGAATTAAAGACGGGGAGGAGGTCTAAGTGCCATTGTTGTCTTTTAGCCAGTGGATGGTGTTTATTGGATGCCACAATGTGATAGTAGCGAGTATTACGATCTCCCTCGAGGTTCCAGCTAACCCAGGCCTGTTGTTTCCAATAGGCTTCTTCTCTCTCTAACCAATTTTCTAATTCAGAACCGATCTTCATCTCAAACACTATATCTTCCAAATCTGGGTTCAACAGCTGCAAATTGTAAAGCTGGGTTTCAAGACTCCGGCATAATTGGTAATTGAGTTCAAGGATTCGGTATATTTTGTATAGGAGTGCTGATATCATTGTGCATTTGTTATCAAGTGTCTTCTTTTGAGTGGTAATTCTAATTTCAGAAACATGGGAGGAGTATGTACCTGCTATTATTAAAAACCCTATTTAGTGTTTGGAATACAATAACTTCATCAGCCATTCAGAGAGATCCAATTCATTTTTCATGATCAAACAATAAAATGGTTAAATATCATCTGATAGTTCTGTTTCTTGTAACCCCAGTAAACCCTATTTAGTAATGAATCTTTAACCGCTTTACGTTTTGCAAGCACCTGTATTTTCAGCTTCAGCACCAAAACTTTGTGCTCAGTTACTCGACTATCGTGACAAAATGCACAACTGGAGAAATTTAAGGGAATTGAGGATGACTTGTCAACTTCTGAACAGACAGAAGGATTGGCAGAACCATGATCACCGGCAGAATGCATGTTTCCACTGTAGTAAGGAATTGCTAGCCCTTGAAAGCAGGTTTTCTACATCTTCTGCAACTGGAAAGGTAAATCAGCTAATGAAAATATAAGAGAAAAGACAAAGAAAAATAAATTTGGTTCTGCCACACTTACCCGACAGAAGAAAGAGATAAAATAAGTTGAAGATCATTCAGTTTTTAAATGGGAAATATACTCAACCAGTTAAATTATTACATGGTTGACTTCTAAGGTATAAATGAATAATTTAAACACAATCATTTGCATCCAGTTGCATTTTATGTAGAAAAATAGAATAATTCACATGCAAAGATCATATAAGTATATAACAAAATCTACAAAGAAATATTGAACAAGAAAAATAAATAAAAGAAAATTGGAAAAGAGAACATTCTTATACAGAGCTCCACTCATTTTTTTCAACCCTGAACTTTTTCAACCACTAGTTTCTTTCAAGATCAGGTCGTAGGTCCATTTTCTTCCTTGTCTTCCCTACAAACAAGTCACTTGACTTGATCATGCCAGGAGCTCTTCCTATTACCGTTGTGAGGGGGAATTGTGCAACTGCCTCTTTCCTCCCGAGTGAAACAATAGCTGTTATTGAACCTGGTTTGTAAGTTGCCATCTTTCTTTCTTTTCCTTCACTCATCAACAGTTTCAGGTTCTTGGCAGCGACTAAAGCATGCTTCTGTCCCAAGTACCCTTGTTTGATTTCCTATTTTTATCCACCAATAATTATTAATATTAGATTTACCAAGAAATATGAGAAATGCAAGCAAACTGGGACATTTAAATCTTATACTATAAGATAGAATATGCCTTATTGATTGCTAATAAGGCTCAGTTTGGAAGGAGTACAAATACATACAAAATAATATAAAATATGAGGTTTTGCACTCTACATATTTGCATTTGTACTCCTTCTAAACTGAGCTTAAAGTAATAAATAATATCAGGATGTCAGAATACAGTTCAAAATTGTCCTTTCTACCTGTAGAGTGGTGATCCATAGTTTTTCTGGATACTTGGTGCACTTGTTGCCATCTAATTTGGCATATCCATACATAAAAACAGCCCTATTTAGTTATTTCAGACTAGAAATTGTTAGGTTAACAACTTCAATTGAGTGGCATTGCCCTGATTTGTTTCCATAAATAAATCATGACAATTGACAACTTATGCTAATAATGAAATGGGTATTATGTTTCAATGATACTGATAAAAATAATCCGACATTATAAGGGAAAATCAAATAAAGAAGGAAAATGAAAACGCAGAATATAGGGGCACAAGCTACGGATGACCTTCACTTAATACCCATTTCATTTTGTACACATGGTGGATATTTCAGATGGTTTTTGGTCCTATGTGAGGTGCACAAGTATGGAGGCATTTACAAAACAATATTTGTCCTTGCAGAAAGGGAAAGATGAATCAAATAATAAACTTGGGCTTTATTACAATTTTGATGGTATTTCTTACTGGAATAACAAGCAAATATAACAATAGTTTTCAGTTCGTTTTTTATAAAGCGTGGGATTCCTGTCTCTCCAAAGGTGCATTACTTGTCATTGTTTTTGTGTAACCATTTTTTATGTTGAATACTCAAATCTATGCCTATTCCAAAATGACATGAATAATATTATTTCAACTAAAGTTATAGCAAACAAAGATTTGTAACCAAACAAACTCATGGAAAATGCCATTTTTACTTACCGAAATGTCAGTTATATCTCCAATGGCAAAGATGTTCCTCCAACCTTTAACTCTCAAGTTCTCATCAACCATCAATCTTCCATTAGCATCCAAGCTATCCTTCAAAATTGTCTCCTTTAGCCATGATGAACCTGTGGGTTTACCAGTGCATAGAAAGTGGCAATCGGCAGTGACTGTTTTTCCACTAGATAATCGATATACCTTGTTTCCATCCGATACAGAGTTCAAGTTGATTGATTCATCCAGAATCACTTCAACTTTCTTTGAAGCCAACCATTCTAGTGTCTTGCTAGAAGCTTTTGGTCCAATAAATTGCAACAACCTTGACCCACTATGAACCAAAGTCACCTTCTTATTAGGGAAATCTGTAGCAACCTCTCCAGCAAGTTCAACACCAGTGGGCCCCCCTCCAATGATTAAAATGGACTTGGCAGCTTTGATTTTGTTGTTCTCTGCAATTCAAATAGGCCACGAGTTATATAAAATGTTGAAATTTTTATAGGAACCATCATCTCATTTATCTTAAAGAGTTGACATTTCTCACGTATGACTAGGAAAACAGCTACCATGTGTATTAGCAACACATCTAAAAAGTCTACTTGTTCACCATAAGCACATGTAAAACCACAGCTACCATGTGTATTAGCAACACATACAATAATAAACTCTATTTCATTGGATATATATAAACTCATTAATCCATTTTTCATACCTGCATAATACTGACGGAGCCTCTCCATTCTGGTTTTGGGAACAGAATCATCATGGCCAGTGGCTACAACAAGATAATCATAGGCAATCAGGCGACCCTCCTCAGTCAATACTTCAGTTTCTGTAATCTTAATAGCACGGGATGTAATGATATGCCCATTTGTAAGATAATCTTTGTGGTTGATCACTGATCTCTCTGCCATCAATGGCTCTACCATTGCTCTCAAGCTAGCCCATGGGATCTCAAAATACTCCTTCCTACAATACAAAAAACAACTAAAACCTAAGAAACAAAACAGTTGAAAGAACGTTTGGACATATTATATAAATCTTTAATAAATCTATAGTGAAGTGGCAAACAATAATGAATTAAAGGGATCCAATCATTTACACCGAAGTTGGTGGATCATCTAGAAACCCATATTTTAGTGTCCTCTTTTATAGATCATTGGATAAGCCTAACCTTCCAATTGTTGAAGTTATTCATGCAACTGTGATCTCCTCTTCACCCTCTGAACAAGAGTGATCAGTAAAAAATTTTAGCCTAATCAGCTAGGCATGAAATTTGATCAGGAACCAATCCAAGAAATGTGTTCTCCATACAAGACCCAGGATCAGTATGCATTTCCACCACTTGGAGTGTAATGGGTGGGATTCCATCATATATGATAAGAGTAAATATGCTGGGGAGCATTTGCATACATTGGAATTTTGGATCCCTTATGAGATTTTTGGAAGCCATTTGGAGCTGCTTGACATCCCCCTCCCCTTCTCAATGATTTTCTCTTCATAGTAACACTAAAATTTCACATAACTCAACTCCAATGTCTAAAGGCAAGTGTTTCCAAAAGCATGATCAAACCTGAAAATGTGTGAGATAAATAGCTAAGCTACTGACTCAAAGCGGATGGACATTCCAGAAAGAATGTATTGCATGACACTTAGTTCATTTAAGAATGTTCTGAAGTGAAATACAGATAAAGTTGCCACCACCAGTCTAAAGAATCAAGCAGAGTGAAACTTAGTTTGTTGAAATTTTTAATATTTACTTGAAAATGATAATCAAAGTATGAAGATGAGCTGCATATAGTAAAACCCATCTTTCAAATAGCAAGACAGAGTAACTTTTCAAATCCAAAAGTCACTATGAAATATTAATTATTTAAAAAGTGAAATAGTAATTCATGATGTACATTTGAAACATTAACTTTATGTTCACCATCTCAATGATGAACAAATATGCTTTGAGAACTCTGAGAAAACCCTTGAGAACCAGGAATAATGCTATCTTAACTCATTGAAAATGTTGCATCAACTAGTGATTATGAAGAACAACAACTAACTTCAATGCAATCAATTATTTCTCATGTCACCAAAAAAAGCAAGGGGGGTCTTGGAATTTGTGATTTAAATTTTGTTAGTCATTATGACATGGCTAACAAAATGTGTATGCTGAGATGGATGAGTGGAAAGGCTAGAAAGGATAGGATCAGAAATGAAGTCATTAGAAGGAACCTAGGAGTAGTTCCAATAGAGATAAAATGAGAGAAAGTAGACTAAGATGGTTTGGCACATGCATGGAAGACTATCAACAGCATCTGTAAGAAGTGATCTGTTGCAACTTGCAAATTAAGGGGCTAGAGAGGCTAGGGGTAAACTAAAAGGACATCACTTGATTTAAGCACCCATAATTTTACAATAGATATGAGTTTAAACAGAACAGATTGGCGAAACAGGATTCATGTAGCCAACCCCATATGGTTGGGATAAGGTGTAGTTTTCTCTTTATGCAATTACAAAAATGGAGCAACCTTAATGCAAGTTCAGTAATTTCAATTGCATTACAGGCACAACCCACATGAGGTAGCCATAATGCCCTGAACTACATGTCTGCATCATGAATAGGCATACACTTTTCATGCTCCAAGCCAAACGTGTGCACCTCATGAATATTTGAGGTGGAATTAAGGAAAACAAGACAACATGGTAAAACCGTAAAACTATTCCAGAAAAGCCATGTTCATTATTACTTTCAGTCTTTCACCTCCAAAAGAGGATATAATGTAAGTTACTTTCAGTCTTTCAGTCTTTCAGTCTTTCAGTCTTTCAGTCTTTCAGTCTTTCACCTCCAGAAAAGCCATGTTCATTATTACTTTCAGTCTTTCAATTGAAGAGTTGAACAGTTAATATCCCATCCAACAGTCCTTTTATCTGGTTTGGCTTTCAAAAGTTTGTTTAATATTGTTCTTGTCAAGTAATTATATGACATAGTGGTGAATGGGAATAATTCCCCAGACATCCAAAGGGTCGAGGTAATTTCATCTGAAAAGTTTAAAATTAAATTGAGTTCAAGCCAGGTGATAGTAAAATGGAGCCTGAATCCTGATATCCTAATCTTAATTTATAGCAATTAAGTGGTTATCCACTATACCCATGACCCAATAATCAAGACGGTCAGTTGGCACCCCTCCAATAGGAGGTGAAGGATCAAACCCACAGAACTGCAGGCTCTCCTTGGTATGGCCACTGGGCATGTAATTAAAAAGAAGAATTGGTGTCAGTATGCTTCAGTATCTAGTAGGGATATCTATCCCTTGCTCATCAGAGTATTGCCCATTCAATCAGTGTCAGTATGGACTCCTGAGTCCTGACTTGAAGCTAGTAATTTGCAGGGTCTTAGGTATCTCAAATCCACAATGAATGATTTGTATCTACGACTCTATCATGTTTCAGATAGTCATGATCAACCACTTCTGCACAATGTGCCCTTATTGGAGTTCATGTTATGGCTTGAGGAGTATAAGAAAAGTCTAGTTTTGAATCCTATACAGAATTTGGTCTAGGGTAGCAGAGCTTCTTTGGTTGAAGGTCACATTACAAGAAACAGAAGTATGCACTCTGCAGCCATATGGATTTCTATAATCCAATCAATGCTGGCTTAACTCTCAAATGTCCATATCCATTAAAAAAAAGAATATTATTCAACAATTCAATAACACCATTAGCAGAAGGGGGGGGGGGGGGGGGGGAGAGAGAGAGAGAGAGAGAGACCAGGCCATAACACGGTGGATAATTAAACCAGTATTTACCGCTACAACTATAACAACGGCCGTTATAACAGTCGTTAGTTTTTTGAAAATTTCCTGTAAGTGGTTCACGCCCGAAACTCGTATCGTATCGATACTTGAACCTTACTATCAAAATGTATGTTTAGTTGGTTGATTATGATTATATACTATAAACTAAGAAGTAATGGTATCGACCATCGAGACGCTATTAACGCCCACAAGATAATAAGATAACGACCATTCCAACGAAAATAACGGCCTTGAAGTCAGCTGTTGCTGTTCTATATAATTAAATTACAACCAGAGCTACCAGACGACTTATTTATTTCACATAAAAAAACACTTACACTTCTGTTCACATGAGAATCCCATCAACTTACAGTAGATTATTTTGTTTTATTTATTTATTTTTTAATGGAAAATAGGCTCTAGCCATTTTGGCTTTCCTTTTTCTTTCTTTTCTGGCTGGATGGAGAGAGAGAGAGTGAGAGCTTACGGGTCGATGAGGAAGACATGAGCATCGAACTGGAGAGATTTAGCGATTAGGGCTCCGGCAACGCCTCCTCCGATGACCACTACCCTCCTTCTATCAGCGCTTGATGGTTCCATGGCTGCTTCGTTTGGAATGAGATGAAGCTCAGATTAAAACGAAAGATCTAAATGGCCAGGTGCTTGAACAATGAAGAGGAAGAGGAGGGCTCAAAAGATTGCTTATGGATTTCTAAGGGATAGGGAAGGCCGGAGGCAAGCAACCCCGGTTGCCTCCTCCGGGAAGAAGAAACCAGGGAGCACGAAATTAGAACTTAGACGAGGGACGCTGCTTGGTAAACAATTGGCTGTTCGACAATGCAGCTAATCTATTTATATTGACCTCCTTTATTGCACATCCCATGTGCAGATTCTATTCATAATTAAATACTAACCAATTGATTGATGGATTCAATTAATGAACTAAGGGTAATTTGGTCAAATTATCCATTATACAAAGACAAACTGGGTTTGGGTCCACCAGTGAACGGTTCAGATCATCTTAACGCGTGATACAGGGAGAAGGATTCTTGTCTGTGGGACCAATTCACCTCAACTCAAGTGACGAAGCTTCCTTCACGTTTACTATTCTATGTTCCATCCTCGGTGGCATAATGATTTTGCAACGTCCTTTTTTATATGGGCACTGGAGATTTCTTCGGGAAGGCTTCATTTGCCGTCAATATGGAATCTTCATTTTATCGGCTAGTCGTAAAAGGAAGTTGGCATTATCATTTTGCCGTTGGACCTCTAAAATCACTAGAAGTTTCCTACCGTTTTGACGAATTCTTCGGTAGGACGTAGGAGACGCGTTAAGAAATAGCCAGCTGGTCCAGAGACTCTAGACGGATACCATACCGATCCTCGTCCTCGTGTAGAGGTTGTACAAATCGCAGCTGTGGCAGGCAAGCTCTCGTTTACCGGTTAAGCAAGTTGAACTGAAATGTAACACAGAAGAATGGCAAGAATTAATTATGCCCCGATGTTTAACCTGCTCAATAAGTAATGTAAGATTGATTCACCACGTGTCTCATGTTAGAGAGATAGTAATTTCTACGACACCCTCTTGGCTGTGTGGTTAACATTCCCTTTTTTTCCCTATTTCATGTTCAACAAGATTTGTTTTGTTTTGATGGTGAGCAACAAAAACCGACTGTAGTTGAACCGAAAATCTGGTTAACTGAATGAATCGGTTCGGTACTTTCAAAAAATTGAAGTTATCAGTTTGGTTTCAGTTAATCAATATAAAAACCGGCAGTTAATCGAATCGATTGGTATGCATATATATTTTTATATAATTTATGTATATTAAAGATATTTATATATATTATTTAAAATATAATATTATATATGTATATATATATATATATTTAGTTTTTTATTATATATCTATTTTTTATAATATATATTGTAAATATAAAAAACCAAAAAATTGACGAACCAAATTGACGGTTAATCGAACTGATCAACTGGTTAACCAATCGGCTGTGATTACCAATTTTCCAAAAACCGATAATACCAGTTTGCTTTCAAAAATAGGCCCATGGTTCACTTAATCAAACCATGAACACCTTTATTTCTCTCTACTTTTTTCTTTCTCACCTCCTTTTTCAGTAGTGTTTTAAGACCATGGAAAATAGAAACTTTTTTTTTGGTATTTGAGGCTATGTTTGGTTTGAAGGAAAATGCAGGGAAAAAAAGGGAAAGGTAGGAAAACCTTTACAAACCTTGTATAGGTTCTCCTATCTTTCCCTTCATTTCCCTACCTTTTCCTTCAAACCAAACATAGCCTTAAGGAAAATAGAAACTCAAGTAGATGTGCTAGTGTGTGTGGGTGTAATTTGGGTTGGCTCGGATTAGCATTTGACACTATTTTGGGTTCAGGATCTTTGGGTCCAGTGCATTCAAATTTTGACAAAAGTCCAATATGAGTCTGCCCAAATTGCACCCCTAAATTCAAGTGATGTTTGCCAAAAATATATATGATTTGTTTTTCAGAATAAAAATATAATTTGTTTATTGATGGTAACAAATTCATATATTGTTTGATTCAATCTGCTATGATTAAATTAAATTATATATACATATACATAATTTTCTAGCATTAAAATATTTTAAAATTATAAATTAAGTTGGGATTTGGGATTTGGGATTTAGATAAACCTAATGTTTTGTTTACAATGGTATCAAATTGAAGATCCAATAATTATATAAAATTTTTAATATTATTGTAAATTTTGATTCTCATTTTTTTACAAAGTGTAGTCCAAGTTGTTTGTGATTTTTTTTCCAACTCCGCTATATTTTCTTTAATTTAATTTTATTATTTTATATATGAACAATTTTCTTCATTAAAATTCATATGGAATAAAATTTTAAGATTTTTTTTTCAATTTGTTCTCTATTTTATTAAGTGATTTTTCAAAATTTCCTTCATTAAAAATAACAATTTTGTGCCAACACCAACCCATGTATCCAACCCTCCTCCACTCTGAGTTGGGATCTATACTCACAACAAAAATTGTCCCAACACGCTTCCAACATGACCAATGTCTTTACATTTCACCATGAGACCATGGCCCACCATAAGACTGAAACACAAGTTAGATTGGAGACTGGATCTGCTCCTCACATAGGGCACCTCACACTGACCTCACAGATACATCCCACTGTGTATTGGGAACATCTTCCGTACTTATGTGTTATTATTTATAGCAGATGTTTCCAATACACAGTGGGATGTGCCTGTGAGGTCATTTGTGAGGCGCCCTATGTGAGGAGCAGATCCCAATTCGTTAGATTGGTGCCTCATAGAGCATACTCCACATGTGTCCTACAACATATCCCAACTGTGTATAGGGCTGTCAATGGGTTGGGTTTGGATTGGTTCGAGGTAGAATCGGTTTTGAACCGATAAGAAATATATAGGTCTTGGAACCGAACCAGCCCTTATAAGATCTATAATTCTAGACCTAGAACCGTACTGATCTGTTCTCAGGCCCACTGGGTCCAGCCCCATTATAATAAACCTACTGGAGAGAGAATTAGAAATATGGAAAAATAGCTGCAAATGGTTGCAGTGATTCGGGGCCTATGGGTAGTGACTGTTTGGTTGAAGAATAAGAGAGAGAGAGAGAGCAATAAAGGAGAAAGATGGGTTAAGAACAACGGAGAAGTATGCTGCAACTCAATACAAAATTCTGAATTCTACTACAAATCTACAAAAATTCAAAATGTTGAATACCCCCCATCCTATACATCAATGCTCGCCTATGGATTGGCATCAATTCCGAGCTGTCACCTACCTCAATTGTACGTCAGGCCTAAGAATTCTGACATTGGACTGAACCGTCATTCTCCCTCATAACAATAGGTGTACGGTCTTGAAAAATTCAATTGTTTTGAGTCTCTTGAACAGTTGAAATTTATCTTACTCATATAGAATAGGTAATATTTCCTTAGAATGGAACTTTAGGGACTTAACTACATTACTGAAGTTCTTGTAAACAGAGAGTTAAAGTTAGAATATGCAAAGCTGACCTGTTATCCTTCTTCTTATGATTCGTTTTTTGGTTTCAGACTGAATGAAGAACGGAGACGGTGAGAGTTTGAGAGAGAAGGGTGGTGCCACGGTAGTTCATTTTTGGCTTTGAATGGGAGGATTGAAAAAGAAAATAATGGAATGAAGAGAGACAATGAGATTCTCGGAGAGGAGAGTGAGAAACGGTGGTGTATTTGGTGCAATCGTCGACTGGTGAATTGCTCAGCTACAAAATATGGCATCAAATCGGGTCTAAATTGGTTGGGATTTGGGAATAAGGTAGTACTGATCCGTCAGTGATAGACCTTAAAACCAGAGCTGACCCAATTAATTTGGGTCCATTGGGTCAAGGCCCAACCCACTAACAGCCCTAACCGCTGTATTGGAAACATCTCCCAATGACAACGGGAGATGTTCTCAATGCACGCACATATGCATGTGGGGCGTTTGTGGGATACGTTGTGTGAGGCGCAGATGAGAGTACATGTGGGAGGACAGTTGGCAGTCTTTAGGGGCCCAGATTTGAAAAAACTTTAGCTGTTAGGGGCCAACAGTCTTTGCTGTTGAAAGAATTTCTAGAAATGGCACAGTACCACGAGAATGGGTAAATTAATAATTATATATTATTTTATTTTTACTAAAAACAAAAGCTTGGGCGTGAATAAATGAACCACCCAAAACATGCCCAGTCCAGAGATTGTCTAGTTGGGCCCCAACAGCCAAAAGTAACCCGTAGATTTGAACTCTGTGGAGTGTGAGTAGGATGCGCTCTATGAGACGCCAATCTATCTGTTATGTACTGGCACATATGATGTTGGAACGGTTTTTTTTGTTGGAATAGATTTGGATTCTCCCACTCTGTCGACATGGCTTGATAAAAACGGGCAACACAAAAAAACATGCCCCACACTACGAATCGAGATTTGCTTAAGATAAGGTGCTCACAACACATCTCGTCGTGCATTGGGGATATCTCCAATAAATAACAATTTAGGAGATGTTCCCGATGTACGGCTGAGATGTGATGTGAGTTTGTGAGGAGCGTTTTCGGATTCGGACTCCCCCATATTACGGAATGGGATCTGCTCCTCACGCTTGAGCGCCTCATATGCACATCCACCGTGCATTGGGAACATCTCCTGTAAAAAATAACTTATAAGTATTGGAGATGTTCCCAATACATGATAGGATGTGCGTGTGAAGTGCATATGAAGCGCCTTATGTGAGGAGTAGATTTGGTCTCCCACGTTACATTTGCAATGTAATGGGTTCTGTTCTTCACAAATGAGCGCTTCACATCCACTATACATTGAGAACATCTCCCGTGAATGATGACTAATAATTATAGAAAATATTTCCAATGAATGATAGGATGTGCGTATGAGGCGCCAGGTGTGAGGAGCAAATCCGGCAATGGGCGGATTAAAAGCTAACGCCAGAGTGGTAGTTGGTAGACACGTCACGTCAGAATATCACAAGCCCCAAAGCTATCACCAACCGTCAAGTTATGATAGACGACAGATGTGGTCTGGTATGATGCGACAGCTTCACTTCAACGCTTAGGTCAAACTGAAGCTAAAATAATATTCCAATCTAACGGTTAAATAGGATCATCGCCATACAGTTAAGATTATCTTATCCGTCAAGCTGCAACGAAAACGATTCTTCTCCGAATACTTGTCGTTGTCGTTTGTCCACGTTGAAATCTAACAATGCTTCTGCAACACAAATACTTCGCAATCGGCTCAGCTTCCTTCTCAATCTCCTCTTCTCGTTGTCTATATGTAGAGACTCCGAAAGAAATTCCGAAAGCTTAGTCGAGCTGAAACTATCGGTTACTGTTTGTGTGAGGTGGAGTGTCTCTGAAACGGTCGACAATGGCGGATGAGATTGATGGGTTGAAATTTGAGCAGCAGCACGGGAAGTCGAGGGTTAGGGTTGCAAGGGTCTGGAGGAAGGAAGATGGTCGTCATTTCTTCGTCGAATGGAATGTTAACATAAGCCTTCTCTCCGATTGCCTGTCTGCGTATGGCCGGGGTAACAATTCCGATATTGTCGCCACAGATACCATGAAGAATACTGTAATAATCAATTCTATCCCTGTGCCTTATCCTCCTTTGTCTTAGATATTGTCTATTAATGCATGTGTTTGGTTGATAAGTTTTTAAACCATAACAAAGTCGGAAAATTCAGAAGTGCATGTAAGAAAAATTCCCTTCCCACTCCTTCCTTTATCAGGTTAGAATGGGATCCCCTGAATTCTGTGAACAGCTGCACATGGAAGATCTTCTATTTCTAGAGAAGCTAGCTAGATATAGTGGTGGTTTTATTACCTTTGTACTCGGATGAGTTTGTATTGTCTCTCCTGGCAAAACCAAGAACAAATATTTTATGAGGTTTCTATTCTTTCATTTTTATAATGGATTTCACTAATTTTATTAGTTAGTATTAATGGGTATTTCGATGGGACTCTCACATCTGGATTCTGCCTAGAATTTGAGGCGAGTTCCAATTCTACATGCATACTTTACATTCAATTGTATAACCGAATCTGCAACCCAAATCTAGGACTCTGAATGGGTGGATTTTGGTGGAATGATCAGAACCTTCTATTCAGATTTTTCTGTTTGGTTGGATTTTAGAATCAGGATATTAAACTTAAGCTGACTGCAGAATGCCATCGGAGCACGACCTCAGGCTGGGGCTAAATTGAATTTGGCCTTCTTTCAACCTCCTCAAAATATATTTTTTGGCACTAACGTTTTTTATTGTAATGAAAAAAACTATTTTCTTTCTAATGGAAACTAAGAAATTGAGTTACTGGAAAGATCTCCAATCTGGTCTCTGTACACCCCCTATAATTTGGTAGTAAAGTACATCAAATCATTAAGGTATTTTCTTAGTTTCATAACTTGTTTCTTTAGGAAGAAGATAAATAATCAGTCGCAAAGTCAGATTTCTTACCAATAAAATGAAGCTCCACCCTATAAACTGAATTTGGCAGTTATGCACTAGCTGTCACTGATTTATATACTGCTTGTTTGCCTAAGCTATGACTGCAAACCTTGAATGTGTTTGGTAAGAGGGACCAATTTGTTGACCCCACTTTCTCATCTTGCCACATCATCCGATTTGGCAAACCACTCCGAGAAATTGCATTTGGTAAAGCAATTCCTCAAAAATCAGCAGAGGAGTTAGTAACTCTCAATTTTTCGTGTTTAGGGGTGATTCTCGAAGATGAGGAAGATAGCTTCTGGAATCAGGGATTGATTCTTGAAATGATTTTTGATATGGCAGTGACATGCTCATTCCAATATGTGCAAACTCCTGAACTTTTATGGAGAGCAATAGTGCATGCCAGGTCAACATTATTTTACCAAAAACACTTAAGAGAAATTGAAGATTTCCAAAAGGCATCAAAATTGGTGATTCATGAGGAAGCAATATTTTGGAATTGATTTCTCTTTTCAAACACCTTTCTTTTAAGTTATCTAAAAAGAATATCCCTTTCACATCTCAGTTAGATGTCGACTACCATATAACTGTTATGCCAGCTAACTCCTATATCTGCAAGAGGTTCTGTATTAGTGATTTAAATTGGTTTTATTATTAATGTTGGATAGTAACTATAGTTTTGGCTCTAATTCCTAAATGAAAGTAAGTTCTTAGTATTAAGTACTTGATTTTCTTGTTATTTTCATCAGAACTTATTTAATTAAGTTCTGTTTGAAAAAGTGTTATCAACATTGTATTTTTTTATTGATTTTCTTGTTATTTTCATCAGAACTTATTTAATTAAGTTGCATAAAAACACAGGTATACGTGAAGGCAAAGGAATGTGTAGATGCTCTTTCAGTTGAAGACTTTGCAATTGAACTTGGGCGTCACTTTACATCATTTTATCAGCAGGTACATATCTTTTTGAAATCACAGCTACTGCAAATCTTTATGTTTATCAGTTTCTTTATATATGCATGCATGGGCAGATAAACATGTCTGTGACTATTTGGGTACAACCTTGTCTTTGTTAGGAGTATTGTAATTGGAACCCTCAAGGTTCAGTTTTCCTACTAGTTGTTTTTTCCTTTGAAAAGAAACAGTAACTGTTTATCAATTTCTGTTTCCTGATGTTATAAGCTTCGAAGTTTCAGTTTTTTCTTTTTATGAAAATCTTGGAAAGTTGGAATATATAATATTATCCAAAGAATTTTTCTGTGCCTTACAAGGTATTTTGATTTATGTTTAAAACCATAACAGTTCTATGATTTTCAATTTTCTCTGGAGCCAGATTCAGGTCTAAGTTAGGTTAAGTTGGTTTTAGGGTCAAAATAATGTTCAGCTAAGATAGGGCCTTGTGGAATTCAGTACATATTTCCACTGTGTTGGGAAAGAATAGGTATGTATATACTCTTTGAAAACATAGTTACAAAAACCAGCCAAGCATAGTTGATTGGCTTTGGAAACCCAGAAACCCGGACCATCTTCCCATATTTTCTCAACCTGTATATAGATGCATGTCATAAATGGTTAAAACAATTAACCATTGTTTTTATCGAACCATGTGAACTTCAATGGCTGGATGAGTTTGTAAGCTAAAAAAGACCAAAATAGGGTTGTGGCTGGGGTGCTCTGGAGTCATGAATTGACTTGGGATGGCCTATTGCTCATCCTGAAGAGCCTAGAACTCTAGAACTGGCATTCTTTCTAAGTCAATATCAGTCCTGGTTTAATACCATCTTTGGGAGATATTAGCAAAATACCAATCTCAAGTTGTAATTTTGTGAGTGTTTATGACATTCTTCTCACACTCATGATTATGGTTGCATTCAAAGCTTCAAAAGACACTTCTAATGCTACTGTTTATATCAACTACAAGGATCCCAAAGTTCTTTTCCCCTTTCTTTTTCATTTCCTTAGTGTAGCTATGCCTCCACCAGTTGTGAACCATGCTCTGGTGATGTGATTGTGCCTTGCAATTTTCATTTATTTTTCTTTAAATGAAAACAATTTAATCAAATAGCTAAACTTCTGATACTCCCTCATGTCTTTGTTGAAAACAATTTACAGCATCCTCATCAATCTCATGATTGCTGAAATCTGCAACCTTTGTGTTGTTCTTTTCAGTTTATCAATGATTTAAAGAAGCAAATGTAGGGGGTCTATTTAGTGGTTGATAGTTTATTATGGTGTCCTGAGCAGGTTTTTCTTTCTACTTTTTAATCTGTTTTCATATTTCTATTCTGCCAAATGTCTGTGGATCTTTAATGGGAGAACAATCAAATGATCAATATAGATAATGTTTAGTTATGTCAGCTACTACGGTGTCATTTATTGATTTATTTATTTCATTTTAAAACATGAAATGTCTATAAAAAAAGTTTCCTCTAATATGTTTTTACTCTTTACCGATAAAAAAGATTTCTTTTGCTAATTAAATTTTAAGATTAAAAGGAATTAAACTCAATAATGGTAGTAAGACCATTCCCAGATGTTGGTCCCAACTATCTGGGGTCTTTGAAGGGGTATACAAATTTAAAAGATCTAATGTCTGTTTATTTTTCTGATGTTCTTGTTAGAAGGATTTTGGATGATACAGAATAGCTTGTAAATCTGTAATATCCTTCTGCTTTTTAAATTGTAGGAGTACCAGAGAGACTTGTAGAGGATGGTTTAAATGAAATATAATGCTTCTCTTTTGCTCTTCTTTGTTCATCTTAATTGTCTCTTATATTTATTGTTTTTGAATTTGTAATTTTACATATTTGGAGAAAGTTAAAACCTTGTGTTTGGTATGTAGGTCACGGCTGCAATAATCAAGATAGTGGAAAAGCCATGGGAGCGAGTATATATTGATGGGCAACCACATGAACATGGTTAGTATAGTTATTCTTTTTTTTCAGTAAAAAAAGAAAAAAATATAGTTCTTATTTCTGATGGAATATACAGTAGTCTCTTGAGCCTATCTTATGGCGAGTGCTCCTATCAATGTTTTCCTTCTTACATTTTCATTGTGAAGGAATACTTGGGGAAATTCTGTACAAATGATCCAAGACATGATTATCTTACATCATAATCCTCCAAATCTTAGTCACATATTAGGCTGCAATGCGAGGCCTGCTTGTGCATCACATCCTTGAGATAACCCACTCATCCAAGTATGAGTGCCCATGTGTAAATTGCACACCAATGGCTTACCTCTACTAAATCTTTACCCCAAATCATGCCTACCGCATACTCTTCATTGTCAAGCACTATCATTGGATGCCTTCTATAAAGAAAGGGAAACGCGGTGCATCATCCAGGAACACTGACTGTAAATGCTTATGCTTTGCTCCTTTGCAGAGTTAAACATCAATATATCTGAGGAATCTTACTGGTCTTCTATTTATCTTGAAATTTTAATCCATTTGGGATGAAGTGGTGTTAAGAGGAGCCTTGACATTGGTCTAATAGTTTGGGACACATAAAGAATTGAGGGGTTTCCATGGACTTTTGTAGAATTATACAAGAGTACCTTTTTTGTTCAGAGTCCTTTATTATCTACTCTTTCTGGCAGATGAAAACTGGCCAAATATTTAGTATCCTGTTGTACATGACATCATTTTTTTTTCCGAATATTAGTTTGAAACAATCCTTATATTTCTAAATAAAAAAGATTCATTTAAATCAGGCACCCCAGTATCTAGAGAGATCACAATCTTTGTTTCACATTTTCATGCCTTCAACTGTTAAACATCTCCACTGTGGACCACATGCCATTATCAGTATTTAGCAACTATGGACAAAGCTTGAAGGCTCTCCAAATCTTTCCCAATTCCTTACCAGTTCACTCACAGTTAAAACTCAATGATCATCCCCCAGTCCAATAGCTGCACTTAATGCATTACATGACCTCTGACTTGCCAAAAGTTTCACCACTGAAAATATTACATGGTGGGATTCTGATGGTCTCATCTTTTGACTTGGATGGTCATGCCAAATCGTATTCGAATTTCAAGGTGATCACTTTCTCTTTGATTCCATGGATTTTCATCTTTGAGTATGTCATACGTTTTATTGTAATTATTTGTTCAAGTTGGTAGACCTTTTAGCTGAAAAAATATTGATTTTAAAATGAGATGAATATTATGATTCGGAACCTATGGTTATAGGATCTACTCCACCACAGTAGTTTGGGTTTCATAGTTTTGTCTGGTACTCCAGAATCCAGATATTTCATTTCTAATCCACAAATTACCTTATATAGCTTTATTTACACAATTATTTCCTTGCTTTAGGGTTTAGACTTGGATCTGAAATACATACAACAGAAGTAATAGTGAAAAAATCTGGTGCTCTACGACTGACTTCTGGAATTGAAGGATTGGCAGTGTTGAAAACAACAAAGGTAGGTTATCTTAACTATGGTGCAATCTTTGTTATCTGAACCAGGTGAGATATTTTGGTGAAGTTATTATTGCTAAATTTGGACAATTAGCCTCTCTCTCTCTCTCTCCCTCTCTTGCTTGCTCTTCTCTGTATCATGTATTTTAAAGTAATTTCTATGTTTTCATTTGAAAAATAATTCTCTCTTTTCTCAATGTGGGATTCTTTCTTTTTCTCTTTTGGGAATGAAGAAGAAGCTCTTGACATTCTCAATTGCGAACAAGGTCAGTTCCAGTGCCCAGAAGTCAGGCTATGGAGATGGAGCCCTTCAGTTGGGGAATTGAAGAACTTGGGTACTTCAAGTTCAGTGTGGATAAATGTCTATGGCATCCCCTTACATGCCTGGTGCTTCCAAACCTTTTTAGCCATTGGGGATGCATGCAGAAAATTAAGGTTTGTCAATTCTAGGACATTCACGTGGAAGAACTTGGTAGCTGCAAGTATCCTGGTTGAGGTGGAAGAGATTCACTTGGTGCTGACATCGCTGGTGCTTAATTTTGGTGGATAACTATGTGACTTGAGATTAGCGGTGGAAGGAACTTATCTGGTTAGGTGGCTAGAAAGATTGGTTTCGTAGGAGGAGGAGAGAGGTAGATTTTGTCGTCTGCCTGGTTTGAACCACTGGAAGTCAAAAGGTCTCATTGTCAAGGGAGGGGCAGAGGTTGAAGACAAAGGCTTTTTTGGAAATAAAAAGTTTAATCTTGATAGTGGGGGCGGTTCAAAGGCTTTATTAGGTTACCAAGGTGATGAGAAGGTGAAAAGGTGTGACGATGAGGAAATGGATGTTAGGATCTTGGAAATTGAAAATGATGAAGGGGGTTTTTTAATTAATGAAGCTGAAGAGGCAGGTCGGGCTTGTAGATGAGGCAATGGTTTAAACAGAGATAATCACTTGAAACCAAAGGGTGTTGGGGCTTTCTCCAGCCAATATTTTAATTAGTAAAAGGTTTTTAAGAGAAGAGGCTTTAAATTTAGAAGTTCAAACTTCCTCAAGAGGGTGAAGCCTTTATCGAGAATTGACATGGGGAAGAGAAGATTTGGAGAGGCTGTCGATTGGGTTTGGGAGATTCATAATTATGAGAGCCAAGGAGATAAGAGGACCGATGATGACTTTTGGGAAGGTAAGATTGAGGACAACAATTTACGATGCATTGGTTCTATGGATTCGTGTTCTAGTTCGTGGTGTTGTGAGGATCAGGTTTTGGCTTTGCCTGTGGCTGCTTCTAAACAATGGACAGATGGTGTTGAGTTGGCTCAGGTGGGGGTTAATGACTTGGATGTGTCTTTGGCTAATGGCGCAGGGACTCTTCCAGATGAGGTGGTGGCTGGTTTGGAGAAAGGGGAGGGCAGATCAGAAGTTTATGTGGGAAAAGGTGAAGTGCCTAGAGTTTTTTTTTTATTTTTTTTTGAGAAAAAGTTAATCAGATTTCATTAAAAAAGACAAGGGGTACATGAGAAGATGTACTAAATAAAGGAAAGAGAACTTAAACAGCAGAAACGCAAAATTACAAGGGGGGAAGTTTGTTGCTATATAAATTTTCTAGGTTTGCTCCAATTTTAGCTAATCCATCTGAAATATGATTCATCTCCCTCGGTATCCACATCAGATTAACATTTAAGTTTTCCAAGGAGTCTCTTGCCTCTGACAGATAATGACTCAACCTCCATGGACCCCCCTCCTTGTCTTTCAGCCATTTGATGGTATTGGCAGAATCTCCAACAATGGATAATTTCTGAATGCCTAAACTTTTTATTATTCTGATACCAGTGAGTGCTGCCATCACTTCAGCCTTTGTTGAGTCTCTGTTACCTATTGGGCCATTGAAAACCCAACAGATCAAACCCTGTTTATCCCTCAAAATACCACCTATCCCAGCTTTGCCTGGATTGCCTGCAGCACTTCCATCGAAGTTTAGAATCATCTCTACTTCAATATGAGGTATCTGTAATCTTTGGGTTGGTTGAGAGTAAGTTGGAGAAGCAAGATCATTTGGATATTTCTGTTAAGATCATTGAGAGAGAGGTCCTGAAACATCTCAGAGTTAGCAGCCCAAAAGTTGCAACAAAAGAATATATCTGAAATTAATTCTTCTAAAGATCTGGTTTTGTTTTCAAATATGCGCTTGTTTCTTTCCTCCAAATTCCCCACAAAACTGCATATACCACAGTTTGCCAATACACTTTACCTCTGCTGCTCAAGCCTGACCCATGCCACTGGTTGAGGAACTCCTGAATGTGCTTTGGAGAGATCCAACTATATCCAGTCAGGTTTAAGAAATGCCACCAAATCTTTTGATAAAAACTGCAATGAACTACTAGATGATCTGCAGATTCCCCTTCTCTTAGGCAAAGCACACATGCACGAGGAGAAATATAAGACCTTCCCAGGCTTTTCTTCTGAAGAAGATCACACGTATTTATTCTCTATAGATATGCTTCCCAGACAAAGAAGCAAACTCTTAGAGGAATATGACTGCTCCATACCTTCTTAAACAGGAAAGAGGAGATCTGATCACCTGCGATTAGAGCCTTAAACATAGATTTGGAAGAGAAAACACCATTTGGGTTGAGGGGAGGTGTAGACTTCTTTTAAGGTGAGGAAGAGGTTTATGAGGTCTGAGGTCTCAATTTCCCTTAGAGGTCTTCTCAGGTTCAGGGTCAAGTTAATATCAGCAGGTAAGGCTGGGATACAAGAGGAAACAGTTGAATCTTGGTCTGTGGAGAGATTGAAGATTCTAGGGAAAGATTCTGCTAGAGTGGTATTCCCCCACCAGAGATCTTTCCAGAATTTTATTTTATTTCCATTTCCCACTTTGAGTACCAGTGAAGTGGCTGAAAAGGAATGTGCAGTGAACTTGGAGAATGACCATAAGACTCAGGCTCTTGAGTTAGTTCAGTCTCAAGCTGAATTTGAGGAAGTTATGATCAATAGGATAGGAGTTGACTTGGGATGTAGAAGGAAGGTGGTTGAGATTGAGAAGATTGCTAACAGAGTCGTAGACACAGATGCTAAGAGTCCTTGAGAGTCAAGGTCTTCCCATATTGTGCATGTGACTAAGGCGTTTTCACAGTTGAAGGATGGTATTGTGGGGGCAGGGCCTACAGTTAGGTACAAAAGATTATTTAAGAGAAAAGGAAGGAAGCCAAAGGTGTTGGTGGCCGAGGAGAGCTGCGGGGTGGATCAAGTTTCTTCGGAAACAAAAACTACAGTGGTGGATGTCAAGGCTGAGGAGGAAAGAAAGGATGGTGGTTTCAACTTTAAGGAGGTACAGGCTTTGTTCCTTGCTGATAAGACGCTAAGGCAAGGATGTATGCCAATTGAATATCTCATTAACAGAGGTGTTGAGGTGGTTAAGAGGCTTGGTCTGTTTTTCTTGGGAGGGGAGGAGTTTTCCAGAAAAGCCTTTGAAGAATTTGAAAAAAGAATGAAGGAAAAGAGGGCAAGGAATGTCTTAGCAAGAGAAGGTGGAGAAATCTGGAACGAAGATGACTTAGGGCAGGAGGAAAGGTTTGAAGGGGAGGATTAGGGTGTGCTTTTTAGGGGGTCTCTGGAATTTTTACAGTCGAAGGTTTTGCTTTTGTTTTCTTTAGGGATGATGGTTTATAGGGGTGATTCTTTGTTGGGGTGGTAGTGGGTGCTTTTGGGTGTGTGGTTTTGCAGTTAGTTTGGAGTCTTTTGTCCTCTCGGGTGATTCCATATCACCTTCCTCTGTACTTTCTTTTTCTTGTTAATGAAATCATTATCTTTTATCCTTCAAAACAATAAAAAGAAACAATTCTTTCCAGAATGAGGAGAATACTAGTTTTATTTGACATGGTTACTGTTTAGAAACTAAGAATTAAAAAATAACAAACCACAACATATGAGAGAAATAAGAAGAAACAAGATTTTAACATGATTCAGCATGGTCATCTACATTCACAGGAGAAATACTTTACCATGGGAGAAGAATGCAAGAGGATTTGAAGAATGACACCTTTCTTCCTTGTACGCCAATTGTACCTTACGGCCTACATCTCTCTCACACAGTCACACTCATTCACACAGACTGAAAGACTAATATTGGCTTAAATAAGCCCATTTCAGATGCTTTCTCAGGTTAGCCACCTACAACTAAATTTAATTACAAACAATTTCTGCATAAATCCAGATTTACAATAAACCCCTTATACAAAAACAGAATTACAAAAATACCGAGACATACTCCAATACTCAAATATTTTACTCTTCATCATAGTACACAATTGAATAGTTAATAATATGAGTGGTCTTTCTTCCTTTTTTTCTGGCTTTAAAACTAGGTCTTTGCTACTTGACCTCAATAGTTTGCATTTATCATTTGATGTGTAAAGATATATTAGAAAAACATTAGCATTTAGTATCTGTTTATTAGATGGATTCTATAGATGTGCCTACTTAGAAGGGCGGTGATGTCAGAGCAGGAATGTCACATTTACCAGCTTAGCTGCATTAGTAATGGTTCAAAAGATATCTACATGTGTTCTTCTCAAAATCATATGGAAGAAATAACATAATTTTTTTAGGGTAAATTACAGATAGGTACCCTGTATTTTGGGGTAGTGACAAATAGGTACCCTGAACTTTCAATTGTAACACTTGAGTACCCTGAACTCTCAAAAATAGACGCTTGGGTCCATCCATTGGTATTCCATCATTACATAATGCCAAAAATACCCTTCTCATGTATCTCTGAGATCATTCTCAGGTAACTGAACGTCTCCCCATGATGGCGTTCCCACATGGACAGCAAATAACAGATTCAAATTGTCTGGCGATGGCATTCTCTAGTGATGATTTTACTCCACAGAATGATCTTAAAAAATACACAAGAAGGGTATTTTTGACACTTTGTAATGTTTAATTGACGGAATACTAACGGATGGACCCAAGTGCCTATTTTTGAGAGTTCAAGGTACTCAAGTGTTGCAATTGAAATTGTG